GGGTCCAGCAGCCCTCACTGCAGTTCCAAAGGTCTTCTGCCTCTGCTGAGTCTCAGCCACCCTCAAACTTTTACCATAAACCAGCAAATCCCACTGACTGGAGTAACGTGCTCTGCAGCTGCCAGCCATGGCACCTCCTCTGAAACAGCATCCAGCTATTCTTTAGTGCCAGCAACTGCATTCCAGGTGGGTGCCTCAACTTGAAGCAGCTGAGGGCATGTGCCATGTCACATCAGCCACACGTGTTCCTGCTCCATTTGGAAGAACTTTTTTCCACCATTAGGAGGAAACCCTGCCTTTGGGCATCTCCCTTTCCTTAATAAAACCCTGCTACAGTGACACCACTCCCTCTTACATACTTGCCATCTCTTTCAGCAGTTCAATACAAGAGAATATATTGTTTATATGGAACTAAACCTTCTCCGTTCACTAAATGACTATTTCAACATCATCTCATGATTTATTTTGTAATTTCGATATTGGGGGTTTTATTCTTTTTTATATTATCATACTACATCAGTATCATTTTGAATTGAATGGTTTCCCCCCTGTTCCCAAGGGGATGTAACAGAGCAATATAGCATCTGCATTGATTTAGTTATGACAAAACCTTTAAATTCATGGCTTCATTATTCATGGTTTCCTGAATATGTCCATATTTTTGCATGTCATTCCTAGATGGCACTGCTGCCTGGGCTAACCAGCCCAAGTTAGGCCATGGTCTAAAAGCAAGCACATTTGCAAGTACCATTCTGGGCTTGGGGTGCCTGCCTGTGTGAAGGCCGTTCAACCTACATGTCTGCAGGGAAAAGCCTTGACAATATAAGTTATCCACACTCAGGCTTCTCCAATTACACAGAATCACAGAATGTTAGGGGTTGGAAGGGATCTCTGGAGATCACAAAGTCCAACCCCTCTGCCAGAGCAGGACCAACACAGAACCTAGAGCAGGTCACATAGAAACACATCCAGATGGGTCTTGAAAGTCTCCAGAGAAGGAGACTCCAGAACCTCTCTGGGCAGATTGTTCCAGTGGTCCATAACCCTTACAGTAAAGAAGTTCTTCCTCATGTTGAGATAGAACTTCCTGTGCTCTAGTTTGCATCCATTGCCCCTTGTCTTATCACAGGGCATGACTGAAAAGAAATTGGCCCTTCCTTCTTGACACCCACCCTTCAGATACTTATATGCATAAGTAAGATCTCCTCTCAGTCTTCTCTTCTCTAGACTAAATTCTTAAGACATTGCTGACTCTGGGCAACTACATTAATAATTATGTGTGGCTTTCTAGCCACTTGAGTAAGGGCACTAATCACAAGATCTTCCAAAGCGAACTGGAGGCCTCCATTTCAGGAAGACACCTAAAATAGGTGGTGTTATCAAATCATGAACACTTGAACAGGTGACTGAAAATCAGGCTTTTTAAAGCTCAGGCATGTTAGTCATCCAAACACGTTAGCACCCCAAACAACCAGCCTTAAAAAACCTGCAGCTCTACATCAAGCAAGCAGCAAGCATATCAGAGCTGGCAGGCAAGAGCTGGTTGTGCATTTCGTGTCCCTGTCAGTTGTACTTTTAAAATTCACATAAACTGCTTTTCCACAAATCTATAGAAATCATGCTAGCAGATCCTGCTGCCAGATTCCCACTGTGGTGCCTACCAGAAAAGTAAGTGCTAGCTAATCTCCAGCCTTCTTTACTCATGATTTTCCTTGGAGGCATCTGTATTGTCTGTGTAATGTAATTAAGATGCATTTGCTGTGCATCCGTATGAGTGGGCTTTAAGCACAGAAAAAAAGTCTCACAATTAGAAGGGTGAAACTAAATCTCCTGCTGTTAACCACCACACAGTTATTTCTACATAAAATATATTTAATTAAAACCAAATCATCAAACACTACATTGGTGATGTTTTGTACAGCAGAGGTTTTACTTGTGTCTGGGCTGCAGCAGATACCTGTCTGCACAAGGTGAACAGAAAGCACTCTCAGAGACCACTAAGTACTCTGGATGCTCATCCTGTCAGAGCTCAAAATCTAAGCTCTCAACAGGCACATCTGAAGAACCTGGAGCAAAAGTGCAATCTTGTTCCTTCCACTTCAGGAAGACACAGAGACAGATGGACAAATGTGCAGTCAGTTGGATACAAGACCTTCAACTCGCATGACCAACAGTTTCTGCAGGAAGATAAATACATCAGAGAAAGCTGCTCACAGATAGAAGAATTCATTCATGGATCCATGCAAGTTTCTGTATGCTGTTCCTTTACAGCATACATTACAAAGCATTCCAAACCCTCTGTTTCAGAAGGTCTCATTCATTCAGGTTGCTTCTTCTCTGGTATTTCATCCGTGTCTCTTGCATAAAGTTTCTAAAGGCTGGTTCTTCATGACTCTCTTCAGTAACTGGAGGGGAAACAAAACACAGCTCAGCACTATTCCAGAACTTGGGCTACTTGTATTACTGAAGAAAGCTAGAGTCAGGCTAGTCAGAGTGACACAAAGTCTATTTGATCTTCAAACTCACTACAAGGAAAAATAAATAAGTGATCTAAAAATCAACGAAAACAGGGAAAAACTAATCTTAAGTCTGCGAGCTGTAGAAAGAAAAATGACACACTAAGAACTTTGAAGATTACTTCAAGACCAGGAGTCACAGGAAAAGGGAGGAGAGCCAGGGGCAGAAATTGTAATAACAAAAAAATGATGAAACATACCATGCACTAATCAGGTTCACTGTCATTACAGTCAATCCAGTTAACAAAATACAGAGGGTATTTCCTGACTAGACAGGTGACTTTTAGACCAGATCAGATCCCTCATTCCCTTACCTTCATGGTCAATGTCATCAGTATCACTCTCCCTCTCTTCTTCATCATCGAGAGTTCCTCGTGTTAGGATCAGCTCAGAGGGACCCATTGCAGAAGCATCATCAGACCCTTTAAGGCAACAGAAATGGCTATACAAACCTGCATGCTAACAAGTTAGCTCATGCCCTGACCATTTCTATTTGTACATAAACACAGCAATAGCTGCTCTAAAGGGACAGAAAAGCTGCTTCTGAACTCCAAAGATACAGGACTGACTGCATAGCACCATACTCAGCCAGGCAACAGTTCAAACAACAGCAGAGTTTTCTCATAGTCTAATTTGACTGTTTCACCTTCTGTTAAGTATTTCATTACTTCCAGTACATCCACTGCCTTATCTACACAACTGGTTTCTTCTCGTGTCTGTGGCTGAAACACAGAAGAGCAAAGTCTAACCTATCCCACAGGAACTAATGCTCCACTCCTCTTTACTAGCACAAAGCTCCTTTCATGCTTTTGCTGTGAAAACAGAAAACCACCATGTGATTTCTCAAGGCAGACTCTTCAGACAACTTCTGCAGTAAACCTGGTCGTCCTTTCCTATTAGGGTACCTGTAAGTGTGTTCCCCTGCACACACACGCTGCCCATGTCCTTCCACAAGTGTTCCAGCTGCTCTTTCTTTTGTTTATTTTGAGCTTCCTCCTGTAGATACAAAGTTACATGTGGATTCTGAGTATGGTTAAAGCATCAGTAGAAGAGTAATCTTGCCCAAATACTAGCAGCCTGTCCCCCAGCCAGAAAGCTGAAGTCAATAAGCAGATCTTACACTACAACTAAAGTCACACAGAACTTAGTTGAAAGGCAACTGCCAGCATGATGGAGTTCAAGAACATTTGCAGCAACATCAGAAAGTCAAACTCATTGCAGCTGTGCCTACAGAGAACTGTCCTTTGGACAACCAGAACTCAAGGTGAGCAGAGCTACTGATCTTGACAGCTGTAATTCAGTTTTTGTTATTACTTGTCTAAGTCAAAACAGTAACACTTCTCTGGTGTGGAAAGATACATCGATATTCTGGACAAATCACTTTAGAAGGTTATTATTAAGAGAGTCTCCATCCTCCCGAACAGAAGATAGAAAAAATCTTCCCTGATTATTTTCTCACAATTTGCCCAAATAAATTATTAACACTAAAACACTGAGCAACATCCAACACATGTTTTACAAAGCATCTTTATTTTTGCCAAGATATGCTCTACCAAATCTAGACCAAAAAAACCCAAAGCAAAACAGAGCTTTAGGACAGGAGTTGTCCCACTCCTGAGTATGATTAGAAATTAAATGTTAGACCTCTACACATAGAGGCAAATTACCCCAAGATACACCACCCGGGTACACAGTAGCTAAAAATACTTACCAGTGTTTTTCTCAGGCGTTCATATTCTGGACGATATTCTCTGAAAAGATAAATAAAAATAGTGTATTCAGTCTGAACTAATACATGGTTTATATTAAGTAAGTATCAAATTAGAGGCTTATTTCTACCAAAAAAAAGTCTGCTCTAGACTTTCACGCTTGAAAGACATTAGAGTAAGACCAACAGTTCTTTTTACCCAGATTTGGAATCTGAAACCAATGGAGGCAAAATAAGTGAACATATTTAATTAAAACACCCACCTTTCTCACACTACCTTGTTGGCCAAGAAATTAAAGCAGCTCGACTGAGGTAGTTAATTTCACTGCTATTCCTAATGAGCAGATCTATCACTCTCCTCCTATCACAGACATGTGATACTTAGGTTTATTAGAAACCCTAGACTACCTTGGCTGAGAAAAGTAACAAATCCTTCAAATCAAAGGAGTGGGCTCATGAATCAGTAGCTTCAGCAAGTACTCACTGGGTCAGGGACCAAAGGTTACCACCTTACCTCTCATATTCATCTACAGCTTTAGAAAGCTGAACAAAAAAATCATCCAATCCAGTGCCAAGCACAGCAGAAACACCAACCACCTATAAAAGAAAAACATACACCAGAACTGAAGAGTAACTGAACCAAATTTTTGGGTGACTGATGAATTATCAAAGCTGCAAAGACTAATCAGTACTTAAAAAAACAAACCAAACACTAAATTTGAAAAATAGGGGAATCTAATAATACCCATTTAACCATCACAGTGGCATAAGAGTATGCAGTAATACATCTGCTTCTGTCATTCCTACTTTCAACATCTTTCTCCACCTGCTGCAATGTTTGCTACTGCTGTACTTTGTTTGGGATTATTTTGGTTTGTTTTTTTCCCTTTGCTTCTTTCTTTCTCTTACAAATTTTACCACAGGGTGTGTGTGGGGGAAATAAGAAAATGGTTTGGATTGGAGGGACCTTAAAGCTCATCTAGTCCCAAAGCACCCATGGGCAGGGACACCTCCCACCAGACCAGGTTACTCCAAGCCCCATCCAACCTGCCCTTCAACACTGCCAAGGATGCAGCAGCCACAGCTGTCCTGGCCAACCTGGGCCAGTGTCTCACCACCCTCACAGCAAAGAATTTCTTCCTCAGATCTCATCTCAATCTCCCCTCTTGCAGCTTGAAACCATTCCCCCTTATCCCATCACTCCCTGTTCTTGTCAAAAGTCCTTCCCCCGTTTTCCCGCAGTCCCTTCAGGTCCTGGAAGCAACAGCTTAAAAAACCTGCCTCTGCACCCATCATTGTACCTCCAATCTCAATACCCCACAAAGAATATATTAACACAATACTGTATCTAAACATAGTGAACAGGACCAGGCAATTGAAAATAAAGGTCAAGGCTTTAATTTCTTTACTTGGTTACTGTTAATTATCCAAAGTTTCATTCTAAACCTAGTATTATAAGTGGTTAGTATGACTACACCAATATCAGTGTACTAGAATTAAAGAGCAAAATAGACCACATGAACTGACCTTTTGCTCTGAAAGTTTGGTCTAATGTTTTATATTTAGACAAAGCACACTTTAAAAGCTACCCAAATCTGACCCTCAGAACAGTAAGAGGTGGAGAATTCCACAGAACCATAGAATGGTTTGGGTTTGAAGGGACTGTAAAGACCATCCAGATCCAACCCCCATGCATGGGCAGGGACATATCCCACTAGATCAGGTTGCTCAGTGTACCATCCAACCTGGCCTTGAATACTTCAAGGGGAGGAATTAATCAGTTACTATTGCAACACATTCAAATTACACATCTGCTTTCTAATTTGAACTTGTCTGTCATTACACTTCTGGTCATTGTGAGGGACCAGCCCTCCTGACCTACTTTGGGAAATGGTATTGAAACCCCATTGTAGCCCCTGCTCATATGCATCCCAAAAGGCCTGCCTGGGAGGACAGACTGCAGAAATGGCCTGCAGAGATGAGATAACTACAACGACTGAGAGGTGGAGGGGGGTAGGTCCACTCCAGCTGCTCACACATCTATGGCTCAATCACATGTATTCATTGTGAAATCAAGATTCCAGGCCTATAAAACAGGGGGCTGCAATGGTGGGCTTTGGGAGTTTCATCTACACTGACCATCAACACTGACCCTCCCCCGTTGGCTGGACCAATGATGCTGGATCCAGGACTGGTGATTTTCCTGTCCTCTTTTATCTCTCTCTTTCACTCTCGTCTCCCCCACCCCTCCCTCTCACCCTTTTCTTCTCATCCCCTTTTCCTTATTTAATATATATATGTGGGTAGTTTTATTTAGGTTGCTCAATATTAACTCCTACTAGTGTAACAAATGTGTTATTTGTTATAAACAGACCTTGTGTGTCGCTGCACCTTAATCTGATCAAAGGGTATTGGATGGCCGAGTTTTCAGGGAAACTGAATGGATTTGTCCTCTCAAACCCCAGTAAGTGGAGGAACAAAAACACATTTTCTTGCTTTTGCAAACTTGCAGGATTTCTGTTTGGTTGGTTTTGACTAACTTCCTACATAGTAAATTGCCCAACTGTACTTGACACTTTCAAAAGAAGGGAAATTATCTCAGATGGGAGACACCACAACACAGAACATTACCTCTTACCAGCCTAATTAGCTTTCTTCTAATGATCAGTCACAAGTCCATATTAAATGACAGAGGCTACCACTCCAATGTGACAAGCACCTGAAGTTTCTTTTTGTTCAAAGCAGGAAATTGTCACTCTCAACACAAGGCTCATCAACAGCTTCCAGTTCCAAAGGGAAAGCCCTTTAGAACTGGAAGCCCAGAAGGACAGAATGGTTGAGGTTGGAAGTTACCTCTGAGATGACCTAGTCTAACCTCTCCTGCAGTATTAACTAGAACAGGTTACTCAAATTCTTGCCTAAGCATGTTTTGAGTATCTCCAAGTCCTCTGGACCACCTGTTCTGGTACTCAATCAGTAAAATTACAGTAATTCTTTTTCCCTCTTCTGTTTAAACACAGTTTCCTGTATTTCCCTTTGTGTCTGTTGCCTCTTGTCCTTTCATAGAATCATAGAATCTTAGGGGCTGGAAGGGACCTCGAAAGATCATCTAGTTCAACCCCCCTGCCAGAGCAGGGTCACCTAGAGTACATCACATAGGAATGCATCCAGGTGGGTTTTGAATGTCTCCAGTGAAGGAGACTCCACAACCTCCCTGGGCAGTCTGTTCCAGTGCTCTGTCACTCTTACAGTAAAAAAATTTTTTTCGGATATTCACCTTGAACCTCCTATGCTCCAATTTACACCCATTACCCCTTGTCCTATCACTGGTCATCACTGAGAAGAGCCTAACTCCGTCCCCCTGACACTCACCCTTTACATATTTGTAAACATTAATGAGGTCACCCCTCAGTCTCCTTTTCTCCAAGCTAAAGAGACCCAGCTCCCTCAGCCTTTCCTCATAAGGGAGATGTTCCACTCCCTTCATCATCTTTGTAGCTCTGCGCTGGACTCTTTCGAGCAGTTCCCTGTCCTTTTTGAACTGAGGGGCCCAGAACTGGACACAATACTCCAGATGTGGCCTCACCAATGCAGAATAGAGGGGGAGGAGAACCTCTCTTGACCTACTAACCACACCCTTTCTAATGCATCCCAGGATGCCATTGGCCTTCTTGGCCACAAGGGCACATTGCTGGCTCATGGTCATCCTCCTGTCTACCAGGACTCCCAGGTCTCTTTCACCTACACTACTCTCCAGCAGTTCAGCCCCCAACCTGTACTGGGGCACGGTGTTGTTCTTCCCCAAATGCAAAACTCTGCACTTCCCCTCGTTGAATTTCATCATGTTTCTCCCCGCCCAACTCTCCAGCCTATCTAAGTCTCTCTGAATGGCAGCATAGCCTTCTGGTGTGTCAGCCACTCCTCCCAGCTTAGTGTCATCAGCAAACTTGCTGAGGGTACATTCTATACCCTCATCCAGGTCGTTGATGAAGATGTTGAACAACACCGGTCCCAGTACCGACCCCTGTGGGACTCCACTAGTCACACACTTCCACCTTTCACAGGGCACGACTGAAAAGAGCCTGCCTCTATCTTCCTTACACCCTCCCATCAAGTATTTATACACATCAGTAACATCCTCCTGAGCTTTCTCGTCTCCAGGCTTTTATGAGACATAGAAAAAAAGGAAAGATTCTTACCTTCAGTGAACTGTAAAATTCATCCAACACTAAACTCATAGAACGAGTCAGGTTACTGACATAGGATGTCTCTTGATTCAGGGCATCCTGAAAAGTCTCAAAGTCCTGCATCCATTCCACTGCAAAACTGTGGTCAATTATGTCAGTCTGGAAGGAGAAGAGAAAATTTTCAGAAACAATCATGAAGAATGTGTTTAAATACACAACTGCAAGTCTAAAGACTTCAATGGTTTACTTGAAAGGGACATTCAAAAATTCTGTACTGTACAAGAAAGGTTAAGTTATATTAGAATGTATGATTGAGGCCTTTCTTGATTGGCTTGGGGGCCATTTCCACATTGGGTAACAGCCTGCAGAAGCTTATGAAACACGAGCTATGCTCTGACCTGAAGAAGCTATAAACTAAATTCAGTACAAGATGATGGACACAAACAGGTGGAATGTTTCCATAATTTTACATGGATTACCATGCAAAGAGTCTATTAGAGTTTTATAAATGTACCATATATATATCCACTGTTATCACAATATAGAGGTGTTTAAAACTCTGATGTATTTCATTTCCTAGCACTATTGGGAAGGAGGAAAATAGATAAAGTATTGCCTACCACTATTCAAAAGATTTGAGACAGAACTGAGGGCCAAAGGCCAAAGCCTGAACTATTTAGAGTTAGCTTGATTAAAATATATACATCAAATTAAATTAACTCTACAAATTATATTATTTTTCCCCTCTGCAAATCTTTTGTTATAGTTCAGCAGTGCTTCCACAGCATCAAGGCCTTTTCTGCTCCTCACACCATCCCATCAGCAAGTAGGCTCAGGGTGCACACAAAGCTGGGAGAGAACACAGCTGGGACAGCTCACCCCAACCGACCAGAGGGATATTCCACACAGTATGACATCATGCTCAGGAATAGCTCACTGGAGGAAGAAGAAGGATAGGGGGGGTGCATTTGGAGTTAAGGCATTTGTCTGCCCAAGTCACTGTTATGTGTGTTGGATCCCGGATGTCCTGGAGAATGCTGAACACCTGCCTGATTATGGCAAGTGGTGAATTAATTCCTTGGTGTGCTTTGCTTGCACACATGGCTATTAAACTGTTTTTATCTCAACCCACAAGCTTTCTCACTTTCACCCTTCCAATTCTCTCCCTCATCCCACCAGGGAAGGAGTGAATGAGCAGTTGCATGGTGCTTCGTTCCCAGCTGGGGTTAAACCACAACAGCTTGACTTTCTACTGAAGGCTGAATATCAGATCAAAACAAAGTTATGAATTCTAAGCCTTGGGCCTACCTTTCCTCACATACACTGATGGAAGTCCCATTTCTTCCACTCTTTAAAAAAACATATGTATTTTCTTAAAGAGAGAATTATTTTCCTACCTCATGCCTTTTTCTACAGAAAAAACTTAACAGCTTACCCTAAAATTTCTTTCTAACCCTAGACAGCCACCAGTGCGTAAGAATCTGCTAAGTAAGCAAGAAGATATATCAAAGACATGCATGGTTTGGCTCACTGGCAGCATGTGTGTAGCTGAATACACCAGACACTGATCCTCCTGGGCTGGTGTGAGGTACAACATCTCGTTCAAAGCTGAGGTTTCCAGAGGAAGTGTGTGGGATGCACACGTGTGCACACGCAAAGCCTGCTGTGCCGGGGAGCAATGCCCTTAATGCAAAGGTGTCTGTGGGGAAAAGGAAGAGCACCCACACCAAAAATCTAACGGGATTCTTTTAGTATGTGAAATTGTTAAGCTTAAAAAGCTATTAAATTCAAAAGCATCCCTTGAAGGCTACAATTACCTTATATAACAGCAAAGATGAGTCCTTGGGACTGTAAGTATCTGCCTTCTGCCACACACAGAGGCACATTTTTAATGTCACTTATCAGGACCAAACACCTTTCATTAAATTTTGTCTGCAACAACACATGGGACTCCTTCCCCAAAACAGGCTGGTGTTACATAATTCCTGTGAGTCATCAGCCTGCTGCTGAGCAGAAACAACCAATGATTAAGACAATTGTTCTGGGGAAGCAGTAATGAACAGTAATAATCCTTCTGTTACGAAGTTAAGTTTCCTTATAGCCTAGGGCTAAGGTGCAAACCTTTTTCCAGAGTGTCCCTATAATCTCTAACTTGAATGTTTAGGTGTAACTGCCCATCCCTGGTTCTTCTTGTGCATTTTAAAACCAGATTAAAGTATCCTTTTAGATTCACTTTTCAGCCTGCAGCTCTCTCCCAGCCTCTTTTCTAGAAAAACGATTATTGTAGTAAGACAAAGACACAACTGCAAAGTAAGCTGAACAGAACAATGTTCCACTAGGACACAGAAAGCATAGCTTTAACTTACTTTGTTCATGACAACAATGAAAGGCAGTTTTGTCTTGTACAGGATACTGGAGGGGGAACAAAAAAAAACAACACAAAAAGCATAAAAATTAATTTAAATCTCACTAGAACATAAGAACAAGTAAAGTGGAAGGCAGGTATGACTCGTGCAAAGATGAACACATTTGACTTCAAAAGACAACTCTTTTCCTCTACAGCAATTAGAATGTAATTTTCACCCAGATCCTGCTTATCGTAATTGAACAGAACATGTCCCAACCCCAAGATGTAAGCACACATTTTAAATCTCTGCGTTTTCTAATCATTCTGACTCAAACCTTAGGTTCTGATATACTATGTATGAACTCAACAAGGAATTCAGGTAACTCAAAACATCCATAAAGGAAAACTACCTTGAAACATGGGCCTACATACTCATTTTGCTGCAGGCATCCTAGCATCTTTTGCTCAACACTAATGTCAGAAAATGCAGCAAGTGGGAAGACACATTTTGATGCTCCTATCACTGTGAGCTTTTCACCTTGGTACAAGGATTGATAGGGTTTTTAAAACCTTTTACTGACATTTACCATGAGTTATGGCAGCTCTAGATATGCTGATTTTTGATTTATCATTTTCCTACATCCATACTTGGATTTATCGGTTTTGTTTCTTTTTTTCGTGTTAAACAAGGAGCTAAATACTTATGTAAAGATCAGTGTGTCTGGAGCTGTCCAAAAGGAGACCAGTGTTCCCCAAGGATCAGTACTTGGACTGGTGCTGCTTAACATCTTTGTTTACCTGGATTTCTTACCTGCAGGCATACAGCATGTTGGACATAAAGGTGACAGGGTTAGTACTGCGAGAGGTATCCATCACATAAACTACAACAGAAGGAAAAGAGGAAGCCTGGAAACACCAAGTAAAATATATTTTAATAAGAAATATATTCTGTTCAACAGCCACTTCTTTCACACAGGCTCACTGTCAAGTCACGCAGAAAACACTTACCAAGGCCTCAGTTATGATGGTCCCTGATGCTGACCAGGTGAACACCTCTATTTGCCCTGGTGTGTCAATAATAACATACCTGTTGAAAGTCACCCCCAAACAAGAAAGGAAAATTAGTTAAGCACAAGGTCCTGTTCTGACTAGATTACCACAAGCACCTAACAGCAAATCACATTATTCTGTTACAGATCAGAAAAGCTTCTGCTAAACAGTGACATGATTTATGGGCATGCTTGAAAACTTCCTGTGTGAATTTTGTAACTAAAAAGCATGTACTCTCTTCAGATTCTGTTTAAGGTGAAAGCGTCAATACACTTAGTACCTCACACTCTTCAGATGAAGAATTAATTGTTGCCTATTTGAACAGTGCATCAGAAAAAAACAACTACAATCTAAAAGAAGACAAGAAAAGCAGAACTGGATTCAGCAGACATTTCTTCAATGTAGCCAAAGAACGTCTAGTTTTCTCTCTTAATTCTGTGTCCTTTCCCATGTAAAATTTACACCAAGGCTGTAAAATGACTAGAAAATATGCAGAGCACCTTTTTAGGATTTCACATCATTTTCCCACACTGATCCCAGAAATAGTAGAACTTGGTAGAATGTACTTACTTGGATGCATTTTGTCTTTTTTCAATGAACTTCATTACCTGATTGAAAAAGAAGAACACTTTGCATTTAGGTGTACCACAAGAGACTTTCATAACGGTTTTGTAAGAAACTACATTAACTTGCACAGCTGCATATATGTATCAAAAGAAGAAAAAGGCCTCTTAAGTTTTTCACTATGTGAACATACTCTACTACAGAAGGGTGGAAAACAGTCGAACACTGCATAAGTCAAAGACAGCCTTGGTTTTGTTTGTGTGTTAGTACTTGGCTAAAGAAATGGTGTAACAAATGCAGTTGTTCCCTACCTTTTTACTAAGAGGTAATTTGGCTATTTGGTAATGGACTGCTCTCTTAAATCATAATGCTACATCAGCCTGGGGTGAGAACTTACGCAAGATATAAAGACAGTGCTCTCTGGGACTCCAAACACACAAAAAACCCCACAGCCTCCCCGCACAGCATCACACAAGAACAACCTCATACCTGATCAAATCTTGTAGCAAAGAGATTTAGAGAGGTCACTATTCCACCATTTGGACCCAGCCCATATCTAGACGTTTCATTGAGGAAAGTAGATTATTATGCAGATGATTATGCAGAGCTCAGAGGGCTCATTTGCTGATTCTGAGAATAGCTGACAATGTACAACGTGCATAGGATGCCGTGCAGCAAAAAATACCCTTAATACACATTTATCTTCTAAGTGATGCAGTAACAAAATAAACACAAGATGCTCTATCTCACTCTTGGCCAAACATATGTGACTGACAAGAAGAGGGGCTCACAACAGCTTCCCCTTGCCATTATTCAAGCATTACCATACTGCACAAAGAGAAAATATACATATGTGTATAGATCAAAGCCTTCTTTGCTTTTCTAAAAAGGTTTACAACACAGGCAGTGACTCTAAATTTAACAATGCCCTGAATGCACTTAATTTTAAGAATTTATAATTCAAGAGATAAAGAAAAGATGTCCTGCACAAATATTTTTTTTCAGAATTGAAATGAGAATGGATGTTGTAGAGATACTCAGTGTCAGCTTATAGATGAAGATTTCAAAATCCTTTCTCATGCATACAGATCTGTATACTAATTATTTTCAAAGAAACACAGGATCTGCTTTTGTTTGGTTTTGGGGGTTTTTACTGCATAAGAACCTACACTGATTCACCAGTACATACAGCCTTCTAGGTCCACTACTCTCAATATCCAAACATGAGGCCAGATTCTCTCCTTAAGTGCTATCTAATGAGATGGTTACACTCCAGCAACGGCTAACACACAGCAAAGCAAATACTGCACCTACATACCAAACCAAAACTTACATTTGGATGTTTTGCTGGTAACTCCAAATCAAACAACAGCCAAAATCAAGAATCCTTTTTCCCCCACCATGTTTATTAGTGTCTGAAATATTAAAAGTCACACTAGCAAGTCAAATCCAAACACTGTATATTATCTGCATCTGCACCAGCTGTTACTTGGGAGACAAAGGACCTCCATACCCCTCTAGAAGTGCAGTCATTTTAGTGCAATGTTACTGAACTATGGTCATCAAACTACTCTGCAGCAAGAGCCAACAGTCTTGGAGATTCAGGAAGACAACAGTCCTCGTTGGTCAAACTGTGGAAATAGTTTTCTGCACTTACTACAGGCAAATAGGAATTTGCATATTTGCTTATAACAAATACAATTAGATCTGTTAAAACATGGAGATGAGGCAGAATCACTTCTAGCAAAGGAGAAAAATTACCTAAGGAGCATCAAATATTGTAGAATATACGTTTCTAACCTCACATACAAGAAATACATAGCCAAGAACTCCTGATCTTCACCCACCATTCTGCACCATTGCAATCCCCAGCACCTCCTGCTCTCTTCACTGTACTGTGCAGAAGTGATAGGTCATTTTCACCATGTCTGAGACTGCAAATAACATTATTTAGACCAAAAAAAGGATACTGTTTCATGACTTCTTTGTACTTCACAGTGTCCCTGATATCTAGAGAGGAGAAAGACACGTGATTAGTTTTAGGACACCATTTTAAAAACATCCTTCTTCATCAGTTTGCCAAGAGGTGAAAGCCCTTCTCTTTTGAGCTAGTCTCCTTTTGTCTCAGTAATAATCTAGCACCAACATGAAAACTCTCCCAGGTATAACAAATAAATCTAACAGATTTGCTATACTGTCGACATACTTCAGAAACCAAACGAAATTCATGTGAAACATCACCAATTTGGGTATTTAGCAGCAACCCCTTCAGTTGAATTGTATTCCTGGGGGATCAACAACACTTAACAAAGTATAGATGTGCAATTAGAGGTCCAGAACTGGAACATATACCCTTAATTACTCACCTGACATCAGTAAAACAACTGTGGAATTCACACTGCCTTTCTTATCCTCTGGAGATAAGCTTAAGAGGCAGGATTCTCACAAACCTGACTGCTAAGCCCTTTGGAACAGCTAAACATAAGGTCTGTTTTATTGTCAAGGTACTTTCTCTAAAATTCACATCTTTTAAGTGTTTTAAAGAACTATTTGGATGTAGGGAACCACATCGAATCTGTCAACACACTCGTGACAAAAAAAAAACAAACACGCAAGAACCCAAACACACCAGATGATGTAAAACAAAAAGCAAAGTACAAACGCGAAGGAAAAAAAATGTGCTTGGCCTTAGAAAGGAGCATGTTATAGGTGGATAGAAGAGTGAAGTTAAAAAACCCAAAGACCTGGTGCTAGGACTTGGAATCTCCCAGAGAAAACAAGCGGCCCCGCCAAACCCCTTCACACCC